CCCCAAAACCCCAAAACCCCAAAACCCCAAAACCCCAAAACCCCAAAACCCCGTTTTTAGGAAGCAGAAATAAAATATTTACGATATATATTCAGCATGAACGGGGCTAAAGGTAGGTAATAGGTGGTGATATAGAAGGAATTAAGGGGGATAAGAATGATCATGTGGTGATTCATTCGTATTTGACGAATATTCATGCGTATTGTGAGAGGAAATAAGGTAAGAAGGGGTTGGAAGAATTAGAGAGAGGGGAAATGGATTGGGAAGGGGAAGAGTGAGGTAGAGAGGGATAGAGAGGAGGTATTTGGGTTTGTTGGAAGGAGAGATGGGATGAGGTTTTTGAATTTTGTAAAAAGAAGTAGTTTGAGTTGAATTAGAGAGGAAAGAGTTTGGATGGATTTGTTGAGTTGAAATAAAATTTTAGGAGTTGGAAAAAGGATTCTAGGTTTGATATAGTAGCATTTTAAGGAATTTTTACAAAGTTTGTAGTATCTAAGTTGATTAAAAATCATATTAAGAACATTGAATCTTCTTCTAAGAGTCTTAATTCTCCTTAGAAAAAGAAGGCAGAATGTACAAAAAGTCACGATCAAGGTTTTCAAAGCTTAGAAATGGATAAAAATCAAAATTTCAGATCAACTAAGTAACATAGTAAGCTTATAAAATTCCCTTGATCATTTTCAATATAGACTGGTCAATTCAAGGAAGAAAGCCTAAGAAGTAGCATTGAATCCCTCCCTACAACACAGTAAGCCTTCTCTAAATCCCTAGAAATGATAAAATATCTAAACAGAAATTAAAATACAACATTTACGAATTGTACAGTAAGAAAAGAAAAAAGTCGAATAAGAATAAAAAGATGATTTTCAAGTCATCCAAACTTGTAGACACAGATGCAGCTAGTACTCTCTATACCCAAGACACCAAGAGATGGAAAATTGGAGTTGAACAGCCGGAAAACAGACTTTCATTCATGAAGCGGATGCAAAATAACAAAACGACTAAGACTAACAAGGAGAAATCATGTGTAATCCAGAAGGTATCTTGTACGTCTGATTCTTTAGAGTAACAAGAAGAATCTGAAAGAGTCAAGCATCAGAATCCTCAAGGCTAACAGTATTGACAAGTAACCTTGAATTCACTAGATATAGAAGAGAGAAATAAAAATACATGAAAATCCCTTCAGATGACAGATGTGAAGCGGAAGACTCTCCATAAGTCTGTCATGCCGAAGGTCAGGACAGGCCTTCCTCCAGATGAGAAGGACTCATCTCAGAAGAGGTCACTCATGGACCACTTTGAGAGGGTCAAGCCCTCCAAAGTTTTCTCAGAGACTTCTCCGAATGCGTCGATCACTTCCGTTCCAAAGGAGTTCCTTACAGATACTTCTGGAATGGAAGAGACTGAAAAGCGAGGACTTTGAAAAAGGTTTCACACTAAGAGCCAGTATTCTGCTCCTACAGGCCAAGGGTACAAGAGTCCTACTCGAAAGCAGTCCAATATTAACCAATATGAAATCCCTGTCGCTACCTATGATGAGGACTACAGTTTTCAGAACTCAAGGCAAGCAGGAAATTACAAGTGATCTTTATGGAAGATCCAACAGACTAAAATCAACGTAAATTACTGGTCATACTATGTATAGAATAACATCAAGAAAATCACTCAGAACAGAGAACAAGAAGAGACTAATCTCAGCTCTCATTCTTTAGCAAATCCTTTAATGAAAAGACCCCAAATGGGTGCTTACAAGAGTAACAGGAAAGGTAAGTACTCAGATCATACTTGTAGAAACTATTCTGAGACTTGATCGAAGGAGTACTGAAGCAACTCCTTCAGATAGAGCCAAAGGTTCTGCCTTCAGCAGTAGGAACAATACTAAAATCCTCCCTGATGGCTACAGTCTCCCTCGAGAAGACTCACAGCATGACCAGAAGAGTGTGGAAAAAGATAATCGGAGGAACAAATTGCTGTATTCTAACAAAAATGATGACGATTACTACTGTCCGCAGATTAAGAATAATTTCCAGGTCAAGAAAGACACAGCAGATTTTTTCTTACTAAATTCTACTCCTTCAGAAGAGAAGAAGTTGACCATCAGTGGGATCAGCAGCAGAAAGAATGACAATGCTGTGGCACCCAGTGCCATCTACAGAGTACCTGCTAGGGTATATTTCACAGCTAACTGTTTAGAAAAAGGAATATCTCCCTTGGAAAGGTAATACGAAGGAAGGAAGATTTCAGCCAATGTCTCCTCATTATGCATACAAAAAGCTAAACGGAGTTCCCCAATATGGTATGGTCCCTTGCTTATTACTCTAGAATACCTTGTCCGAGCTGAGAGGGTGAGAGAAAGATCCTGAAATAGCTCTAAAATAAAGTCCCATTGAATATAAATTCTCAAGTATTAATTCTCTAAAGCATTTTGATCTATTCATTTCTAGTAACCTTTTCTAATGAAGTCGGCTTCATATTCAGTCGATCTAACAAAGAGACTGGTGGATTAGAATTGATAGATTTCTAACTAAAATTAAGGGTTCATGAAAGCCAACATTTGGGGATTATAAACCACATATATTTTTTAGATGAGAGATCGTCAAAATTATGAAATTTAGCAAAAATTGGTTCAACCAAGAATCAATAAAATGGGGTTTTGGGGTTTTGGGGTTTTGGGGTTTTGGGGTTTTGGGG